TGCGCAGGGCCCCTTCGGGGACAGGGCTGCGGGCCGGAGCCACACCCCGGCCGGGGGCTCCTCGTCGTTAAAGATCACAGCCGCGCTGCGTGGGCGGCGTCACGGGGACCATAACCCGCGGGCCAAGGCAGAAGGGCGCGTGACACAGGTCATCCGGGCTTCGGAGGAAATCGTAGTGGCGCTGAGCCCTGAAAAGAAGGACCTCTGCGTTACAGCTGAGGAGAGATGCCCGGCTCTGGAAACGCGGCCCAGGCCCTGGCCGGCTCCGGTAGCAGGGGACAAGTCTGCAGTGTGGCTCAGGCCTTCGTGAGGCCTGTCCAGGCCCCTTCCCTGCCAAGTCCTCAGAACACTCACGTGTCACCTGGAGGCTGGATCCCGGCCTCTGTAAAGAGCAGCTCTCCTAAGCTGAAAATCTAGAGCCTTGACGCAGGCTCTGCTGGCCTCCTTGTACCCACGGCAACACGCGCAGGCATGCAGGAGGCTTTGGGAAAGTGAGCGAGACCCAGGCTGGGGAGGTGGAGGGGAGGCAGGGTAGGGACTCCCAGGCAGGGGAGCAAACGTGCAGAGGCTGAGAGAGTACAGGTGCAAAGCAAGATGAAAACAGATAATAGGAAATGGAAAAGAAGTCTTTTGCAGGTGGAAAAAGGACATAAAAGGAGTTCAGGTGTGCGAATGTACAGCTAGCAGCTCCCGCGGTGAATTTTTAACTGTTATGTACTGCAGACGGCATTCATAATAAGAGTGCTACAAGCTGCATGGGTCCAGAAGTAGACGACCTGCCATGCCATCCCGCTAGGGCTGGGGATGTAGCTCAGTGGTGCTGCTGCCTGCCTTGCAAGCCCAAGGTCCTGAGTTCAAAAAAGAGAAGCCTTCCACTGAGTCAACAGACTGTCGGGATCAGAGAGCCAGTCAACCACAGACAGGATTCTAAGCTTTCCTGCGGGGTAGCACAGCCAGGCAGAAAAGCCAAGCACGAGAAGAGTGAACTTGCATTTATATTGGCATCAAGAGAGCGTGAAGGCTTACAGCAGGACTGAGGGGAATACGGTGCCCTTTTCCTAAAAGGCCAAGAACGCCTACAAACGCAGTGCAGTTTCCAGAGCTCACAGAGAGCTGGAGGGGCCCACAGCATTTGGGGTAGGAGAGGTGGTGAGGTGGATTCGTTTCACTGCTGTGAAAGCGGCACCATATGTATCGTGAGTGGGCAAAGTCGGAACCGCAGAGCTGTTGGGACTCAGTGGGCAGAGCCGCAGCAGTAAAATGGGTCTCCAATTAGGGGAGGAAGGATGGGCCAGACCGATGAAGTCTTTCATGGGGAACATGACTCTCTGGATTTAAAAATCCTAAATGATGAAGATGGGAGACCGAAATGTATACGCAGAATATTTAATTATACGTAAATATGCATCGTAGCGCTGGAGAGCCCATCCAGGGCCTCTGCTGCTGATTACACCCCATGCATCCCACTTTTTTTTTTTTGAGGTAGGGCTTCACTATGTTGCCTAGGCTGGTTTTGGACTCCTGAGCTCAGGAGACTCTCCTGCTTCAGCCTCTGCAGTGCTGGGACTAGAAGAATGAGCCACGGCACCCAGCCCTGTTAGATCAGGTTTCTGCGGATGTTTGGTTGTCTTTCAGCTCCCGAGGGTAGGCCTGGTTTCTATCTTCATCCCAGCATTTGCAAGGTGCTTGGTGCCATTAAATGTGGAGATGGATTCCAGTCAGGCAGCAGGGCTGGGGTCCAGCGGGTGACAACAGAGGAAAAGGCGGGTCTGAGAGCCGTGGAGGGGACAGGACAGACAGGAAGAGGTGGTTGGGCTGCTGGGCCCGGGGGTGGGAGGGGCTTGGGTGCTGCTGGGGGAGGCAGGTGGTCGCAGGCCCAGGATGTGCAGGTGGACGCCTGGAGGCAGAGGGAAGCGAGTGTGCGCAGCTGCTTGGGGCCTAGTCTGGGCCGGAGGGGGAGGGGTGGTAGGCGCGTGCCCATGGGTACATGTCAGTACCTGGACCCCCCACAACTGGGGACCCCTGGCTGTCAGATCCGCCTTCCAGGGGCAGGCTGGCCTCCTCCTCCGCCTCCCTCCCTGCCCCCATCCTGCACTCCGCGTGACTCGGGAGGGGCGGTGGGGCGG